GAAACCATTGAGAGAAGAGGGAGTGCCTCTCACACTAGGCCAGGGGTCGGCCATCTTGGCTCTTTTAGGACTCGTGGACTTCAACTCCCAGAATTCCTGAGCCAGCTATGCGGGAGGGGGGGGTTGGCCTGGATGGCCTCGAGGTAGCCTTCCCGCTCTTAGCTACGAGAACACTCTGCATTGGACTACAGTTCCCATACACTAGAATCTCAGGGGTCGGCCACCTTGGCTCTTTTAGGACTCGTGGACTTCAACTCCCAGAATTCCTGAGCCAGCTATGCTGGCTCAGGAATTCTGGGAGTTGAAGTCCACGAGTCCTAAAAGAGCCAAGGTGGCCGACCCCTGCACTAGGGGGGAAACAGGTCACTCGGGCAAGCAAGCCCAGCCACGCGGAACCGACAGCCAGGCAACAGATCCCCAGGATGGGCCGGAGGGGGGATCCGATGCCCCACCAGACTCGTCATCGGGGGACCCCCCCAAATCTTCCCGGCCGCCCCTTCCCGTGAGCCCCGCCCTCACCGTGAAGGCCCCTCCCGCCGTGGTGATGTAGATGGTGTACTGCTTCTCGCTCACGTCCTCCAGGGCGGGGGGCTCGGGGCCCGGGTCGGGGTCCTCCTCCTCCAGGGCGATGCGCAGGGCCAGGTATTTGGAGAGGTGGTCCACTGTGGCGTTGGCCGTGGTCTTGACGTACCTGACAGCCCACGGGGGCGGGGGTGGAGAGAGGGGAGAAGGAGGGGACGGTAACAGGAAAGGAAGACCCCCCCCTAGATTTTCCAGGTGGGGGAGAGAGAGGAGCTTAACCCCCAAGGCCTCTTGCCCCCCTTTCCCACCAGACCCCCGTAAACGGCCACGATCCTCCACAGAGCCCCCAAAACAGAAGGGGGGCATCCATCCCCGGTGCCCGACCACCCTCGGGGACGGGGTGGGGGGTCTCACCTGGTCTGGGAGTAGCCCCCCTTCTCCACCAGGAGCGGGTGGGGCCGGAAGACCAGCTCGATCTCGCTGGTGCTGGCCTCGGTGCCGGGTTCGGGGCTGCCCCGCCCGCCGTCGTGGGAGGTCTCGGGCTCGGCCACGGACTCGTCGGAGGCCCTGGAGCGCTTGCAGCTGGGCCCGGCCTCCGGCTGGCTGGGCGCCGAGGCGTTGCTGAGGTGGGAGCGGCTGTCGCAGTTGTCCTCCGCCCCGCTGAAGGTGGTGTTGTCCGACTCCTGGGGGTGCTTGCGGACCCGCTGGCCCCTGGCGGAGGAGAGAAAAAAAAAAAAGGCCACGGAGTGGGATGGGTGGGTGGGCGACCCACGGCGAGGAAGGCGAGGGGTCTTCCCCGCTCCGCGCCCCTCTGCTCGACTCGAGGGGCTTGAATAAAAGTGTATTGGTTTTGCAAATTTGTATTAATTTTCAAATAAACATATAAACAAATACAAACGTGGTGCATCTCGTTAAAAAACAAAAAGGAAAACCTAGTCGATATATTTTCAGAAATGATCGGCGGTCCTTCCTTCCCCTCCTACCCACACCTCTCTCCTCCTTCCTCCTTCCCAACTATCCTACACATCCCATCACCTTCTTTTTCCACCTCCTTCGGATGCAGTTTAGGGGTACTAGACGATCATCTCCTCTTTATCTATAACATGTAAATACACCAGATTTTATATAATTCTACCCCTTCATCCCCTTCCCCCCTCCCCCCCCGGGACTTCCCAGAACTGAGTACAGGGATAATCACATAGCATCCCAAATCTAAATAAAACTACCTAAACATAATACAAACAAATATTAACATACTTTAACTCTAATATACAATAATAAACTTAAATAGAATATATATATATAAATTATATTGATGAGGCACGACCACAAACTAGAAGCCAGTCCACAGCTGCATCATTAGCCACTTTAAACCCCTCCAATCCATACATGAACCAAACTGACACCCACCATAAAGATGTGGCACGACCACGAACACGAAGCCAAACAACAGCAATGAAGCTCACCATCTCAAATCCCCCTGCAACTCAGACTAACCTGAGCACAACAAAGCCCCCACCCAAACAGAACACTCCCCAATCCAATCAGAGCACAGCCAACCCCCCCATCCAATCAGAGCACAGCCAAGCTCCTTAACCAATCAGAACACACCTCCACCCAATCAGAACACAGCCAAGCTCCCACCCAATCAGCTCAAACCCCACTGGCAGTTAAAAGGAAGAAACAGCTGCGATCGCACACTACTCCCAGAAGCACGAAGCTGAAGACACCAGCCTGAAGATGACGAATGTGACTTCGT